TGCTGTGGTTTCTGTAATGTAGAAGATATTACGGCAATGAGGCTCCCGAGGTCCGTTCTGGAAATCACAACTACATGTAGGATGAAATGCATTCTGCGTGCAGACGTCTCCTTTTCCAGGTTAGGTTAAATAAACCGTACCAACGGTTTGTTTGACAAAGCTCCCGCGAGACGGTTTCTTGGTGATTTTATTAATTTTTCCGATCCATTTTTTTTTTTCAGCTCTATTTTCGCGGCTTTTGCGATACAAACTAAATTCATTTTTAGTTGTGATGGCATTACACTGCTTATTCATGACGGCTTTGGAAGAAACTGAATATATTGCGCTTCGCGATTTCGCAAAATCGCTGCGGGAATTAAAAAATATATTCTTCCAAAAAAGCGTTTTCCTGCTTTTTTCTCTAGTCAATTGTCTCGTTTTCTAAAGGTCCTTGAGAACAGAATAAGACAATATTTTATTACCTACAACCTAAAAACCTGAGTTTTGACCAGATCGAAACAAAACTGACCTCTGAAATGGAAGAAGAAAAGCCTTTTATTTTTGCCGGCTTCGGCCTGCCGACGCGATCGTGTCTGTTTTGCTTTCATATGATGACATTTTCCTAACAGAAGGATGTCGGGAGAAACACCTCGTGCTGATCATACGTGACAAAATCCGCCGCGCCGAAGCTAATTAAGAAAAGTCTCCTCGAAAGCTCCATACAATTCCTTATAACAAAATTATAAGGAATTGTATGGAGCTCTCCAGGATACTTACAGTGCAAGCCCTGTGTGTCTTCTCATAGTAACTGACAACTGACAAATGGTCAAAATTTTAACTGACAACTGGCAAATAGCCGAAAATTTAACTAACTTCTGACATTTGCCTTGGGTTTTGCTGTCAACTGACAAAGGGCCTGATTGTCCCTTAGTACAAAACTTGTTTTCCACTCTTTTCATCAGCATCGCGCAGAATGCCTATTGTTCTCGGGACATTTACTTCCAGTTCAGCAAAGTTCGTAGCCTCTGAAAGCGCTTCAGCCATTGGTTGCCAAGAATGCACGACGAAGCTCATTAATATGTTGTTGGTGGCAAACTAAACAATGAATGCAGCACGCTATATATTGTTTTCTCCTTTTAGCTCTTTTGTTTCGCAAAATCGCAAATATGCGCATATTTCACAGTGAACGTTCAAATCAAGAGAATGCATACACTTTGCTTTATTTTGCGGGAATTTTGTCTAAAAGTTAAACCACAGAAAGAAAGATGAATTTTCCATTTATTTTAGCGCGTGCGAAACCTCTATTATGTCGTAAATAAACTCGCTGCGAGGAGAGTAAAATTGAGCTCGGAAGCCAGAACACTCGTCGCTGATTGTAATGTTTTGCTTCTCCATTCGAAAGATGTTAGCTCTTACATTGACCCCCGAAAGCAATTTAACCAAAATGGCGGGTAAGTAAGTTCAGTTTTTGCAATATAGCTTACTTGAAATACTTAAGCTCGCTCCCTGAAAACAGGGGGCATAAAAAGATGATTGATTGATTGAAATTGATCTCCTCTGGTTTAATAGACAGTTTAATCCAAGTCTCAGTTCTAATTTTTTCCTCCTTTTTCCGTCCGCCGTGGCTTGGATCTTTCGCCGAAATCGCCGAATGGTTTCCGCGATTGCGCGCCCAATACGATCTCGAGCAGGCTCCTTGAACTGGTAACCAAGCGGCTTGACACTCACTTGAAGTAAGTCGAACACTGTCGCCGGCTTCCCACAAATTTCTCTGCATCTGTAAACTTCTTCATCATGAATTTGCAGGTGGAACGTCGGGCTGTTTTCGTCAACAAATGGAGGAACCATATGAATTTGTAAAGGGTGGATCGGGTTTTCGAAGAGCTCTGAAAGAGCTCCCGATCCGTGACAGTTTCTTTTTCCATGTTCATTGCAAGATTTGGTCGGCAGGTGCAATGAACCAGCTGACGTAACGCGATCAGTTTAAAAGTTCGCGGCTTCTCTTGACCAGTTTACAATTGAGTGTTTTTCTTGGATGGGCATTGTGTCAGTCATGACAACCATTGTTATTCAGTCGTGGACTTAAAACAATACCCACTCGCCCAAAGTGCGCCATTTTCAAAGTCAGCAACCACTAGCAGTTTTCAAATCGAAAAGAACAGTGGTTCTCGTTTACCGATTTTAAAACTCAAAACGGATTCTTTTCTAGAAAGGCTCCAACTTTCTTTTCCCGCGAGTGAAAATATGAAAGCTGGTGAAAATGTTCAGAAAATCGCTGTCAAAAGTGGCGTCCATACTGAAAACGACCGATTTTTCCGAATTTTCGAGTTTAAAAAACAGTCTTTATACTTCCTTATATTCCTCAGTCTAAGGCTTAAAGTGTTGATACATCATTGCTTTCCAAAAAGCCGTGCGTAAAAGTTAAGATTATAACTTCTGAAAAACAGAAAAGAATGTTTTACTAGCCCTACTTGACCAATTTGGGCCCTTTCTCTTCTAATTCTGGGCTATTCAAAGCGCGCTCGCATTCAAATTTGCCGCTTCGATGACTATGAAAAATTAATGATGTCCAGGCATTCTGCGCGATGATGATGTGATCAAATGTGCATTTTTTAAGTATAATCTTAGCAGCAAGACGCTTACGTTTCCTATTTCTTTCGTGATTATACTGTAAAACCCATGTGTGTCATGTACCATCTGTTATAAATGACCTATGATCTCAAATTTACGTTTCTCTGAGAACGCGCCAGCATACGATAGCTGCTCAGAATGAGGACGTTACAAAGCAGGGTCGGCCAGGGTTTTTGGGTATACGGTATACGGTATATTGCAGCTTAAATGCGGGTATTCGGTATATCACTTTCTTTAAATTTCAGGTATAAAGTATACCTGGGTATAATTTTGGGTATATTTGGATGAATTTTGGGTATTTTGGCGAATTCTTTTCGGGTATCCTGGTATACCGCTACCCCCCCTGGCCGACCCTGACAAAGGCAATTGCAAGTTTTTACTGAGATGATTCAGAGACGGTTTTCTTAGTCTTCTTACAATCTACCTCCCAATTTTATACCTGCCAGCTTTTTCTGAGTCAAATGCGTGAGATTTTCACCTTGTTATGATCGATATTTCCGGAAACGTCCCGGCGACTTCCGAAGATTTCCGATGAATTACCGAAGACTTCCGAACGTTGCCGAAAATCAAATGTCCGCATATGTTCTAGAAGACGTTTGAGCACTTTCGAAGCTACTTAAAAGACGACACTTTTAGCGCGCTTTGACATGATTTCGTTAGAACACAAAAAAGGACACAAAGTTATCATGTGTTAAGAATAATTTGTTCGGATTTGTGAGTCAGGCGTGAGAAACTGTCCTTGATACGTGACTTCGATGTCTTTAGTCCACAGGCGTAAAACTCACGCATAACGCGTATACAATATTCTGATGGTATAATTTTTATTAGCTTAATGGTTTACAATGTTGGACTCTGGCCAGCAAAAACGTTCGAGTGGAGGAGACTAACACAAGACTTGAGAAAAGGAGGGCCACTTGAAATACTTACAATAGCAAAACTGATAAAAAGTAAGGTACTATGGCATCAGTTTTCGAATTTAAAGTTTCATTTACATTATATGTGCCTTTTACGCCAACTTTAGCATCAAAAATATACAAATAAGCTTCATAGTTAATCATTAATATCCATTTGACTGGCAACTGACAAAAAGCCTAAAATTTAACAGACAGCTGACAAATGGCCGAAATTTTAACTGACAACTAACATTTGTACTCCCCCATCCAGACCCTCTCGATGGTGTTTCCTTGAAAGTGTAATGGAATATCACTTACTGTACTGTTATGTATTAAAGGCATAGTTTGATATTTACTGAAGTTTCCTTTTTGAAAATTGCAAGCATACAAACCAGAGGTATTATTATTGGCATTTCTTATTAGATTGTTGTTAGCTGTTTCTAGGTCCCCCGCTATTTCATACATTGGATGGTCATCCGCGAACATATAGAGAGATCGATCAATTACATAAAGTCTCAGTGGTACTTTTTGGCGTTACAATTGATAAAGATCTTACGTTTAAGCAACATGTGTCCTCTAAATGTAAAAAGTTAAAAAATCAGTTTAGCGTTATGACAAGGTTTGGCAAACTGATGTCTACTGAAACCATGCTCCGTCTTGACAAGGCATTTATACTTCGTCACTTTCATTATTGTTCTATGGTGTGGCATTTCTCTAGTGAACAAGATTGTGACAATTGGACCTTTTAAACAAACGTATTCTTCGATTTATTTTCAAGGATTTTAACTCTGAGTACAATAATTTACTTAAAAAGGCAGGAACTGCTAACCTTAAGGACAAGCGTTTACAAAACATGATTCTTACTATTTTTAAATGTCTTCATTTTTCTGATTTTGCAAGATATTTAAAAGATATATGTTTCGCTTACGCACTAGCACCTATTTTTTACGAGGACATAACATGCTCTGTTTGCCCAAACCTTTGACCACTTCTTATGGTATCAATTCCTTTAGTTACTTGGCAGCAACATCTTGGAATTCTCTTCCTGACCATTACCGCACTATTTCTGATTTTACGTCTTTTCGACGACTGATATCTACTGGGAACAATAATTTACTTAAAAGGGCAGGAACTGCAAACCTTTCTACATCAAGCATCAAGATAATTTGCAAGTTGGTTGTCTAGGTAGTTAGTTATCTTATTTGTTATATAGAATTAACTTTTTATTATAATTTATTTATTAATGTAGTTGGCTCGAAGATATTAGCACTTGAGTCACCGCTACACTGTAAATTCGAGGGTAAATAAAGTTTATTGATTGATTGATTGAATTACATATGTCAAATCGTCTTGGAAGATGTTACATTTGATAATGGACCTACAATAGGGCCGATCTCTGAGGACAGCCTCTCTTAGTCCGCTTCCACTCGCTTCTCTAGTAATTAAGCTTCCAGTTGCACTCGATTTAGTCGATCACACAGATAGGATCTTATAAGGTTAAGTAATTCCTCTTGAAATCGATACGCTCTTAATTTGCTGATAGTAAAGGGTAAGTTTCATGTTATGAGATATCGCGAAATTATTAATATCTGAAGCAAAGACGTTGAGCAAACTTATAGATTTCCTTGGAATAATCTCCAAAGCATTGGTATCGTCGACAAATTTAATGCGTAGGTGCCAGTGACACAGGAATTTATTCGTCATAACTGCGAAAACGATTACACCTAGTTTTGCCCCTTGGAGTACTCCTCCTTTCAGAGTTTGCCAATCTGACAGAGTTCCTCCGACTCTAACTGCTTGCTACCGGTTGGTCAGGAAGGCCGCGATCCATTTCAGGAGGACAGGATGGATCTCTAGTTTGGCCAGCTCTTGCATCAGTGGTTTGGTCAATAAAATGAAATCCCTTTGTGAAATCAGCGAAGAACAGTCGAGCAGAAGCCTCACCACTATCCACCGCTTCATAGACAGCTTGCAGCATGTACAAAAGGGCATCTGTTGTCGAATACTTCTTGCGAGCTTATTGGCGATGGTATAGATCTTGTCATCCATCTAGTAGGGGCATAAGTCTTCTGCAGGTAAAACCCTCCATAACCTTCACGGCAATGTACACGTAAGCGAAATTGGTCTTAGATCACTTTCAATGGCCCTAGGAGGGATCACCTTAGGGAGGGGACTGACAATTGATGATTGAGGAGAGATGGAATATACCTCTCCCCCAGTAACGACTGCTTATAAATATCCCGGATTATAAGAGCCAACTCGGGCTCAAAGTTCTTAAAAGCCTTTTGGGAATGTTGCCAGCAGGACTTACCGCCTTAGACACTAGGAGCGAAGACAGAGATCTGCAGGTCTCATTATCGGAAATGAGAAATTTATATGGTACAGACAACGGCTGCATTCCTTGATGCAGGAGTGGCAGATGTTCTGTAAGGTTGACGAAGAAGGCAATCTGAAAATGAACTATAGCAACCGCTCTCTACTTGGCTTTTAATGCTCGCAACCCATAACTCTTTTGCTAAAAGCAAAGAACTAGACCAGAATGTTTGAGGGGGAAGGGGTAAGAGATGAAGTAATCCAAAAAGAATGTTTTACTAGCCCTACTTGACCAATTTGGGCCCTTTCTCTTCTAATTCTGGGCTATTCAAAGCGCGCTCGCATTCAAATTTGCCGCTTCGATGACTATGAAAAATTAATGATGTCCAGGCATTCTGCGCGATGATAATGTGATCAAATGTGCATTTTTTAGGTATAATCTTAGCAGCAAGACGCTTACGTTTCCTATTTCTTTCATGATTTTACTGTAAAACCCATGTGTGTCATGTACCATCTGTTATAAATGACCTATGATCTCAAATTTACGTTTCTCTGAGAACGCGCCAGCATACGATAGCTGCTCAGAATGAGGACGTTACAAAGCAGGGTCGGCCAGGGTTTTTGGGTATACGGTATACGGTATATTGCAGCTTAAATGCGGGTATTCGGTATATCACTTTCTTTAAATTTCAGGTATAAAGTATACCTGGGTATAATTTTGGGTATATTTGGATGAATTTTGGGTATTTTGGCGAATTCTTTTCGGGTATCCTGGTATACCGCTACCCCCCCTGGCCGACCCTGACAAAGGCAATTGCAAGTTTTTACTGAGATGATTCAGAGACGGTTTTCTTAGTCTTCTTACAATCTACCTCCCAATTTTATACCTGCCAGCTTTTTCTGAGTCAAATGCGTGAGATTTTCACCTTGTTATGATCGATATTTCCGGAAACGTCCCGGCGACTTCCGAAGATTTCCGATGAATTACCGAAGACTTCCGAACGTTGCCGAAAATCAAATGTCCGCATATGTTCTAGAAGACGTTTGAGCACTTTCGAAGCTACTTAAAAGACGACACTTTTAGCG